CCCCAAAACCCCAAAACCCCGATATCATAATTGTAGAAACTATATTGTAAGTATTATGAATTGAAACTATACAATAAATCATTAATTAAATCACAAGTCATTCATGCTGATATGTTGATGATTCAATCACTCACACTCACACCCTCATTTCAACTAATGCTCAATTAAATTACCTCTAACTTTTCATAGAAGAAAGGGATGCATTCATTCATTATTTTATCATAGTCTGGTACATTATCTGTGATTTCCTGAGAAGGGGGTCTTTCTACATGTAGAACAAGAGTTCCTTCATCTCTACTCTCTTCTAGTAGTTATCATCAAGCTTTGTTTTCTCTACCTCCCTGCTAGAGTAAATGTTAAGATTCAGAACCTTTTTGTGATGCAGTCTATGAGCCCCCATACTCAGATCCATCGTCTTCAAGTGACCTGACTTACTGTGAGGCACAATATCTTTTGGCCTCTAGAATTCATCTTCGCCTGTTTTAGCCTTTCCTTAGGTGAAATATTAGAGAGTACTAAGAGTATTTGACTATTTCTTTTACAGTAATTCAAGCTCCTTATGTTGCTCTAGTTGCTCTTTAATCTACAGTTGCTTTGAATCAAGATGCTTCTTTTTCTGTCTTTTTCTACCTGCACCTGCCCCACCTAAGGCTGAGCCATCATCAGCGGTAGTTTCATCCTCACCTGCTATAGAACTGCCTTACTTATCAGAGGGAACTCCTTTTTGTGACTGATCAGCTTAGATAGCTCCTTAATCTTTAGTCTAATCCGTGCTTTAAATCTCTTCTAGCATCTGCTGCCTCTTCAGATCCTTTCTCCTCAATTCCTCCTCCAAAACGTTTTTGTAGTCAAGAATTGAATTTGACGTGCATATTATCTCAAAGTGACCTGCTTCAACAATCTGGGGTTTAGGCTAATCTGGAGGATTCATAGCTGTGTTAAAGGGAGGAGGCATAGTATGATGAGATCCCTGTTGTTTCATAAACATTCGGTTTTGACTAACAATATTAAAAGCATGGACATCGATGATTTCGCGGGGCACAGAGTTTTTAGTAATAATGTATGAATTGCTTTAAGAACTTCTGCTAATAGCAATTAGATCTGTGATTATTGAGGTGTATCTTGTTTTCATTGCCTCACTGATCAAGAACATAATCTCAGGATCCATATTTCTTATTCCATACTTAGACATTGTCTGTCTAAGTTTTTCCTCTAGAACTCTGTAATTCAAAAACATAGACTGTAGTCTTCTTTGTCGATCTTGTTCTCTCATATTTGGCTAATTTGATGATGGCTACTTTTTGTCATCCTCCACCAATTCTTCCTCGCTTTAAGACTGGTTGGCATCTTTAGACTCCTCATCTTCGTCATCGCTTTTGACAGCTTTTGATGGCTCTTCCTCCTCCTCATCTTCGACTTTAGTCGGATCTTCCTCCTCAGGATTTTCAACATCTTCATCATTGGAGCCATTCTCTGAGCCTTCTTAATCCTCATCATCAACCTATTCCTCAATATCTTCTTCTTAATCTTCTTCTTATTCTTCTTCCATTTCTTCTTCCATTTCCTCGTCGTTTCCTGATTAGTCTTCATCTTAATCCTAATTATCTTCTTCGTCTGATGCTATTTCCTAATCCTCCTCCTAACTTTCCTCTTATTACTTTTTTTCTTGCTTGCCTCTAGCTGCACTGCCAACTTTTCCTCTTGATTACTGTACTTATGTTTACACAGGGGGCGTTGCTTATTTTCTCTTGCCTCTGCCCTTAATAGTGCCCTTCTTCGACTGGGTCAGTAAATTTTGCGAGGCCCCTCTTTTAGTGACCAAAGCCTTTTTACCTCCTCTCTTTATTATAGGCTCGATCTTCTTTACTCCTTGCTTTGTTAATTGCTTTTTTGTTTTAATAATCTTTTTGTCCTTCATTTTGGTTATTCTCTTACTTGCTGTCTAATTTAGCGTTTTACCCTTTGAATTTTGAGACTTTTTCTCCTCTGACTATTCTTCTGCATCTCTTTTAGATGCGCTATCAGACATCAACTATAATATAGATAAAATTTGATAATAAATTACTCCAAGTTGTTTCACAATGCTTCTGCTGTTTGATGGCCTTGTAACCATTTATCTCTATACAGATCCAGCACCGCTTGCATGTCCAGTATCATCCTTATTGACTTTACTTTCTTGACTAGCGACCTAACTAGCCTGTCTGCGACCTAAGAGCGATGGTGGATTCTTATCAACTGAGCTTGAAGTTCTGGAAAGGCTGGATTCTTGATTTCCTCTCTATAGCCATTTTGATAAAATTTATTTCCGCAAATACAAATATGGTTGTTTTAATTACAAAATCAAATTATTAATAAAGTAAAGAGACTTTGAAATCTCTTGAACTTTTCATTAACCTTTGAAATCCTATTAAACTTACCTTCTGAGACTTATTCTTATAGTTATAGACATCCTGCAATTCCTGGGGAGCAAAAGTCATAACTTCTTCAAAGAATTTGTCCTGGTCAATAATCTTGTCCTATTTAAAGTTTTTAGCATGTTTCTTTAGAATTTTTTGATTTTTTGAGAATATCACCGATACGGGTACCGCTGGTATTAAGTACTAAGTTGCAAATGTGACCTTACCTAGATCTTTTTTTTGACTTCCTCGAGCTTGGCTAGCTTGTTTTTGTCCTTGATTTTCTCAGAAAGCAGTTTGCAGTACCTCTTTAAGTCGATTTACTTGGTTTCCTTGTCATCTTTCTACATTTTGTAGGTAAATAACATCATCTCAAAATTGGTATGGGAGGTGCTCACGAGCGCCTCTGGTACCTACTTCATCATTCTGCATCACATATGGACTAGAATGCCCGCTATCTTCTTATAAAGCTGCGCTTCCTCTTGTCCTGGTGTTAGGGGCTCCTATAAATAATAAATTTAAATTCCTTAATTTAATTTAAAGCTACCAATAGAGTTGGCTCTGGCTAACCTGTCCTCGTTCATATTGCCTGATTGATTATAATAATTTTTTGTATTAAAATAGTACTAAGTGTGATCCACATACACAAAATATAAATTCCAACAATAATACTCGAGATCAGCTCCCTTTCTGCCAAACCAAACCCATTCCCTATCACTTCAGCCTCAAAACACTCCATACTCTCCTTATCTCAAACTTTTCACTTATTATTCTCAGAATGTGGTATAAACGGAATTGAGAGGTAGATCTCAGGCTTCCATATATATAATAAACGGGATCCTTATCAATTAAAATTAATGTATACCACTCTCTCAACTGCTAAACTCTAGCTTCTTGGGGTTTTGGGGTTTTGGGGTTTTGGGG